CACAGACTGGTAAGATATATTGATGATGAATTGCAGCCGTATCTCTGTGGTGAGGTAGTGGAGCAGCTGCAGCAGTAGTAGTAGGAAGAGCAACAGCAGCAGCAGCTGCAGCAGTAGCAGTAGTAGTAGGAAGAGCAACTGCAGCAGCAGCTGCAGCAGTAGCAGTAGTAGTAGGAAGAGCAACTGCAGCAGCAGTAGTAACAGCAGTAGCAACAGCAGCAGTAGTAGTAGCAACAGCAGCAGTAGCAGTAGTAGCAACAGCAGTAGTAGCAACAACAGGAGGAGGAGGAGCAGCAGCAGCAGCAGCAGCAGCAGCAGCAGGAAAATGAGCAGCAGCAGGAGGAGGAGGAGGAAGAGGAGCAGCCACAGGAGGAGGAGGACGACGAGGAGAACGAGAACGAGAACGAGAACGAGAAGGAGGATGAGGAGGAGGAGGACGACGACGACGACGTCGATGACGAAGAGGAGGACAAGAAGGAAGAGTAACAGAAAGAGGGGAGGCGGAGGGCGTTCACATGAAAATGTGTATTTTAGGTTTAATGACTTAATATGATATAGATTTTAATGCTAAATTCGGTATGGATGGCTGTTGTGAGGGACTGAAGAGTTCTGAAGGTAAGGTTGCTTATTATTTGGTGCTTGGTATTGTTAAGTTTAAATTGTGATTGTGGCGTGAGCAGAGTATTTTACAATTTATTCGACGTTCATCAAACACCCATTAACACTGCCTCTCCACCAGCAAACTAGTAATTCAAAATGGAGCAGTTCTGAGTCGCCACTCGTTTATTACTTGTCCGGTTGAGTCAACCAATGACGTGAGAGCTGGCCCACCCCCCCCCCTCCCCCCTCCCCCCCTCCCCCCCCCCACCTCAGCCAAGATGAGGTAATCATCACTTAGTTCTGGATCAGACGCGTACCCAAGTTGATCTTGTACACTCTGAGATATAAAACCTGCTGTTATGAGTGGCTTTACTCTGTGGCTTAGTATTATTATTATACTGCTGATTATTTAACATTGTAAATACTGTACATGATTTGGTGAAGGAATTTACGGGTAAAAAAAAAAGTACCCTCTAGTGTTTGCCTTTGATTGTCTGGGTTAATCCTTGTCTTGACTTAGGGCCAAGTTCAATAGGTCTTGAATTAGGGCCAGGTACAACTGGCCTTGACTTAGGGCCAAGTCCAACAGGTCTTGACTTAGGGCCAAGTTCAACAGGTCTTGAATTAGGGCCAGGTACAACTGGCCTTGACTTAGGGCCAAGTCCAACAGGTCTTGACTTAGGGCCAAGTTCAACAGGTCTTGAATTAGGGCCAGGTACAACTGGTCTTGACTTAGGGCCAAGTTCAACAGGTCTTGAATTAGGGCCAGGTCCAACAGGTCTTGACTTAGGGCCAAGTTCAATAGGTCTTGAATTAGGGCCAGTTACAACAGGTCTTAGAATGGTTACCTGCGTTAATAATTATGATTGTTTAAAGACATTTTTGAGGCTGATTATTCATTTTTCATTTTAATTATATTAAAGGCATGAATTATAATGTCAATAAGCTACGTTAGTTTGTAATTGAAAAAAAATATATATTTTTGTTCTATTTTCGTTGACAAATTTAAACTTATTGTTAGTTTTATTAGTAACTTTTAGGTCACTAGATTATTTAATATTTTATGTTTGAGTTCTATACTTCTCTTAATTTTGAGATGACGTTAATAGCCTCAGCGAATCCGAGCTGGCGACCATATGTTATGTTTTTAATTTAATTCCTTCTTTACCTTAGCTAGTGTCTTGTTATTATAGTCAAGTATATAAAATATGCAAAACAACCACTGTGAACGAATAATGAAGTTCCAAGCGCTTTCGTGACTACTTATATTATCAAGGAACAATTGTTCCTTGATAATTTGAGTAGTCACGAAAGTGCTTGAAATTTCATTATTCTTTCACAGTGGTTGTTTTGCATATTCTGAAATCACCTGTTCACTGTGATCTTTTTGTGTGTGTATATATATATATAATATATATATATATATATATATATATATATATATATATATATATATAATATATATAATATATATATATATATATATATTATTGTAACCACGAACGAGTGGTATTGATCAATAACACTGCGCTAGCCAAGGATTCGAACCCATGTTGTACTGGTCTGCCTCATGGTAAGGGTGGCCCTGTGGTTTAAAGCGTCATGTGGTTCTCGCTTACCATGAGGCAGGCAAGTACAACATGGGTTCGAATCCTTGGCTAGCGCAGTGTTGTTATTGATCAATACCACGAGGGGAGTAGAATGATAGCTCTAGGCCTTTCGTGTTACAATCAACACATCATCAGGAGCCGAGGAATTAGGGCCTATTTTTCCTGCAGTTTCTGAAGGTTGAACCAGAGTTTGCCTCAGAATTATGTGGTATTGATCAATGACAACACTGCGCTAGCCAAGCATTCGAACCCATGTTGTACTGGTCCATTATTGTGAGCAAGAACTACATGACGCCTTATTACAACCCAGGAATTCAAAGGCCTGTTATCCTGGATGTAAAGGAAGCAATATAAACACAGCAGAAAATTTTTTTATTTATATTATCCTTTCATCAAATAACAGAGGTATGTACACTATATACACTATGTATTAGTGCACTCCACGGTAAGCAAGGCAGAATAGAAGCCACTAGAGAGCAGACCGTGCTTCAACCAGCTCTAGAATGGGAATGACAAAGGCAGACAGGAGGGTGGTGCCCACAACACCTCTGCGATTGCCAGAATCATCGTCTCATTGGCTGAACCTGGGAACTGATCGAACGACGGGGCCCCAGTCCGACCCAAGTACTGGATCGCTGGTTGGGGGAGATAGCCTTTCAATGAGGGTGTGTACATGCCCAGAATAAAGGTTATGTACTCTTTGTATGCCACACGACTTAACCCACAGGACTACCCAATCCTACAAGAACCAAGCACCCAGCCAAGCTAGGTGTGTTACTCTTGGTCCTAGGACATACGGCAGTGTGGGAGCTTAGAAGCTAATTTCATTCTTATCCCTGTTTAGTGTACTAGCCTATGAGCAGCATATATACAGTATTGTAACCACGGACGAATGGTATTGATCAATAACAACACTGCGCTAGCCAAGGATTCGAATCCATGTTGTATTGGCCCGCCACTGTGAGCGAGAACTACATGACGCCTTAACACCTTGAAGTTTCCACACTACCATATGTCTTCGGACCAAGAGTAACACACCTAGCTTGGCTGGGTGCTTGGTTCTTGTAGGATTGGGTAGTCCTGTGGGTTAAGGGGGTCGTGTGATTCTCGCTCATACTGGTGGCTCAGTACAACATGGGTTCGAATCCTTGGCTAGCACAGTGTTGTTATTGATCAATACCGCTCGTGCTTGGTTACAATAATGTATATATGCTGCTCGTAGGCTAGTACACCAAACAGGGATGAGCTGAAATTAGCTTGGAAGCTCCCACACTACCGTATGTCCTTGGGCCAAGAGTAACACACCTAGCTTGGCTGGGTGCTTGGTTCATGTAGGATTGGGTAGTCCTGTGAGTTAAGGTGTCATGTGGTTCTCATTCACAATGGCAGGCCAGTACAACATGGGTTCGAATCCTTGGCTAGTGCAGTGTTGTTACTGATCAATACCACTCATCCTTGGTTACAATATATATATATATATATATATATATATATATATATATATATATATATAATATATATATATATATATAATGTCGTGCCGAATAGGCAGAACTTGCGATCTTGGCTTAAATAGCAACGCTCATCTTGCCATATAGAACAAGTGAAAATTTGTGTATGCAATAATTTCGCCAAAATCATTCTGAACCTAACGAAAAAAATATATTTCACTGTTTGTTTAGTATTAAATTATTGTAAACAAATCTAAAATATATTTAGTTGGGTTAGGCTAAAATAAATTGTTCTTGTTATAATAAGGTTAGGTACGTTTTCTAAGATTCTTTTGGTGCAAAATTAAAATTTTTTACATTAACGTTAATTAAAAAAATATATCTTTAAACGTATAAGAGAAAATTTCAGAAAGGACTTAATTTTAAATGAGTTCTTGCTAATTGACCAGTTTTACATATTCGGCACGACATATATATATATATATATAATATATATATATATATATATATATATAAATGTATATGCCGTGACGAAAATCAAAGGCCTACCATACAGGAGGGATCTGTTTTCGTCAGTGCGTTATGCTGGGTAGCAGCCGTTAGCATATCATGGCCTGCCGCCACACTCCACAGTGACTCCTCAGTACTCACGTGGCTGCTGTGGCGAGAGGAAGTGTTGCACTTTTGTCTCTCATCCGCCCCATCTTTTGTCCAGTGTTCCCTTTGGTTTTTGGGGCTATACATGTTTGATTATGGTAAAAGGAAGTCTTTAACACTTGAAACTATGGCTCAAATCATAGGGCTTCACAAAGCTGGGCACCAGACGAAAGAAATAGTGGAGAATGTTGGTGTGTGTGGGTGTTCAGTGAGGAACTGGGTGCAGTGTTTCAAGACTGGTGGCGGTGTCGAGTTACCGTCTGCCAAACCTCGGCCTGGCCAGTCGAAGAAGACATCTGTTCGTACCTTAAATGTATTAAAGAAGCAGTTAGAGACTACACCTAAGATAACTGCTAGAGAATTGAAAGAAAAGAACCCACATCTTCTCTCAAAGGTGTCTGTAAGAACTATTAAGAGACGTGTGTCAGAACTCGGCAACAGTAGTCACTACCAAGTTAAGGTACCGATCCTCTACAAGCCACAGAAGAAACATGGGCTAGATTATGCGAAGAAATACCTTCATTGGAATTCTCAACAGTGGTTAGAGGTACTTTGGACTTTGGAGTGATGAAACAACCTTCACCGTCACCTGTATCCGGGGGGACATGTGTACCGGCCCAGAGGTAGTGACCCGCTAGACCCACGCCACACCTGTGGGACCGCCAGACACCCAGACTCTCTCATGCTTTGGGGGTGTTTCAGTGCTCAGAGCGTTGGTGAACTCGTGGTGCTTCCCAAAAACCAGCCAGTATATGAACCAGTATAATTAACTGGAGTTATTGTGTGACAATTTACCTGAGGCGTTTAAGATGTGTGGGGATACGGTTTTTATGCAGGACGGTGCACCATGTCATACCTCCAAATCTGTAGTTCACTGGCTTCAGGACTGTGAAGTGAGCCTCTTTAATGACTGGCCAGGCAGTTCCCCAGACCTAAAACTTATTGAGAACCACTGGTCAATAGTGAAACGAAATTTACTGGGCAAGGATATCCTTCGGCTGGAGGCTGCTCTACATGATGCATGGAATATACCTCCCCAAACCCTTAAGAATTTGTGTGAGAGTCTTCCTACACGGCTGAGGGACGTGATTTAAGCGTAAAGGACGCAGCATCAAGTATTAAAACCTCAGTAAGTGCGCAAATATATATATTATAATCTTTCATTGCATGTGTTTGTGTTTCGGTACGTGTGTGTGGAAGGGGCGCCATAATACCGTGACTAGCACTGTATATACATTATATATATATATATATATATATATATATATATATATATATATATATAGTGGAACAAAATTCTTCCTCCGTAAGTCATGCGTGTCGTAAGAGGCAACTAAAATGCCGGGAGCAAGGGGCTAGTAATCCCTTCTCCTGCATACATTAACAATTTTAAAAAGAAAAACCTTCATTATTCCTTTTGGACCACCCTGTTTCGGTGGGATACAGCTGTTGCGTTGAAAGAAATATATATATATATATATATATAATATAAAATATATATATATATATATATATATATAATATATATATATATATATATATAATATATATATATATATATGTGTGTGTGTGTGTGTGTGTGTGTGTGTGTGCGCGCGCGCGCAAAACAACCACTGTGAAAGAACAGCGAAATTCCAAGCTTTTCCTGACTAAAATTATCAAGGAACAATTGTTCCTTGATAATGTGAATAGTTACGAAAGCGCTTGGAATTTCACTATTCATTCACAGTGGTTGTTTTAAATATTCTGAAATCACCTTTTTTACTGTGATATTATTGCATGAAAATTATATATATATATATTATATATATATATATATATATATATATATAATTTATATATATATATATTATAATATAGGTATATATAGGTAATATTAGGTATATATAGGTAGTAGGTTGGTGGGAAAAGCAACCACCCAGGGAGTACTACCGTCCTGCCAGATGACTGTGAAACAAAAACCTGTAACTGTTTTGCATGAGGTAGGATTGCTGGTTTCTTTTTCTGTCTCATAAACACGCTAAGATAACAGGGATATCTTGCTACTCCTACTTACACTTTGGTCACAACTTCATAGACACGAAATGCATATTATATATACATACATCTAGGTTTTTCTCCTTTTTCTAAATAGCTCTGTTCTTTTTATTTCTTCTATTGTCCATGGGGAAGTGGAAAAGAATCTTTCCTCCGTAAGCCATGCGGTCGTATGAGGCGACTAAAATGCCGGGGGGCAATGGGCTAGTAACCCCTTCTCCTGTATACAATTACTAAAAAAGAGAAGAAGAAAAACTTTATAAAACTGGGTTTGTTTTTAAATGTGCGTGGATGTAGTGCGGATGACAAGAAACAGATGATTGTGATGTTTATGAATGAAAAGAATTTTGGATGTCCTGGCCCTAAGCGAAACAAAGCTGAAGGGGGTAGGAGAGTTTCAGTGGGGGGAAAAAAATGGGATTAAATTGGAGTACTGAGAGAGTTAGAGCAAAGGAAGGGGTAGCAGTAATGTTAAATGATCAGTTATGGAAGGAGAAAAGAGAATATGAATGTTTAAATTCAAGAATTATGTGGATTAAAGTAAAGGTTGGATGCGAGAAGTGGGTCATAATAAGCGTGTATGCACCTGGGAAGAGAGGAATGCAGAGGAGGGGAGAGAGATTTTGGGAGATGTTAAATGAATGTATTGGAAACCCTTTTAACCAATGTGAGAGAGTAATTGTGGTAGGGGACTTGAATGCTAAAGTAGGAGAAACTTTTAGAGAGGGTGTGGTAGGTAAGTTTGGGGTGCCAGGTTTTAAATGATAATGGGGAGCTCTTTGATTGAACTTTGTATAGAAGGGGTTTAGTTATAGGTAATACATATTTTAAGAAAAGAAGGATAAATAAGTATACAGATATGATGTAGGGCGAAATGACAGTAGTTTGTTGGATTTTTGTATTGGTGATAAAAGACTGTTGAGTAGACTTCAGGATGTTTCATGTTTATAGAGGGGCCACAGATATATCAGAATCACTTTCTAGTTGTAGCTACACTGAGAGTAAAGGTAGATGGGATACAAGGAGAAAAGAAGCATCAGGGAAAGAGAGAGGTAAAGGTTTATAAACTAAAAGAGGAGGCAGTTAGGGTAAGATATAAACAGCTATTGGAGGATAGATGGGCTAATGAGAGCATAGGCAATGGGGTCGAAGAGGTATGGGGTAGGTTTAAAAATGTAGTGTTAGAGTGTTCAGCAGAAGTTTGTGGTTACAGGAAAGTGGGTGCAGGGGGGAAAGGGAGGAGCGATGGTGGAATGATGATGTAAAGAGAGTAGTAAGGGAGAAAAAGTTAGCATATGAGAAGTTTTACAAAGTAGAAGTGATGCAAGGAGGGAAGAGTATATGGAGAAAAAGAGAGAAGTTAAGAGAGTGGTGAAGCAATGTAAAAAGAGAGCAAATGAGAGAGTGGGTGAGATGTTATCAACAAATTTTGTTGAAAATAAGAAAAAGTTTTGGAGTGAGATTAACAAGTTAAGAAAGCCTAGAGAACAAATGGATTTGTCAGTTAAAAATAGGAGAGGAGAGTTATTAAATGGAGAGTTAGAGGTATTGGGAAGATGGAAGGAATATTTTGAGGAATTGTTAAATGTTGATGAAGATAGGGAAGCTGTGATTTCGTGTATAGGGCAAGGAGGAATAACATCTTGTAGGAGTGAGGAAGAGCCAGTTGTGAGTGTGGGGGAAAGTTCGTGAGGCAGTAGGTAAAATGAAAGGGGGTAAGGCAGCCGGGATTGATGGGATAAAGATAGAAATGTTAAAAGCAGGTGGGGATATAGTTTTGGAGTGGTTGGTGCAATTATTTAATAAATGTATGGAAGAGGGTAAGGTACCTAGGGATTGGCAGAGAGCATGCATGTTCCTTTGTATAAAGGCAAAGGGGATAAAAGAGAGTGCAAAAATTATAGGGGATAAGTCTGTTGAGTGTACCTGGTAAAGTGTATGGTTTGAGTTATAATTGAAAGAATTAAGAGTAAGACGGAGAATAGGATAGCAGATGAACAAGGAGGCTTTAGGAAAGGTAGGGGGTGTGTGGACCAGGTGTTTACAGTGAAACATATAAGTGAACAGTATTTAGATAAGGCTAAAGAGGTCTTTGTGGCATTTATGGATTTGGAAAAAGGCGTATGACAGGGTGGATAGGGGGGCAAATGTGGCAGATGTTGCAAGTGTATGGTGTAGGAGGTAGGTTACTGAAAGCAGTAAAGAGTTTTTACGAGGATAGTGAGGCTCAAGTTAGAGTATGTAGGAAAGAGGGGAATTTTTTCCCAGTAAAAGTAGGCCTTAGACAAGGATGTGTGATGTCACCGTGGTTGTTTAATATATTTATAGATGGGGTTGTAAGAGAAGTAAATGCGAGGGTCTTGGCAAGAGGCGTGGAGTTAAAAGATAAAGAATCACCACAAAGTGGGAGTTGTCACAGCTGCTCTTTGCTGATGACACTGTGCTCTTGGGAGATTCTGAAGAGAAGTTGCAGAGATTGGTGATGAATTTGGTAGGGGTGTGCAAAAGAAGAAAATTAAAGGTGAATACAGGAAAGAGTAAGGTTATGAGGATAACAAAAAGATTAGGTGATGAAAGATTGAATATCAGATTGGAGGGAGAGAGTATGGAGGAGGTGAACGTATTCAGATATTTGGGAGTGGACGTGTCAGCGGATGGGTCTATGAAAGATGAGGTGAATCATAGAATTGATGAGGGAAAAAGAGTGAGTGGTGCACTTAGGAGTCTGTGGAGACAAAGAACTTTGTCCTTGGAGGCAAAGAGGGGAATGTATGAGAGTATAGTTTTACCAACGCTCTTATATGGGTGTGAAGCGTGGGTGATGAATGTTGCGCGAGGAGAGAAGGCTGGAGGCAGTGGAGATGTCATGTCTGAGGGCAATGTGTGGTGTGAATATAATGCAAGAGAATTCGTAGTTTGGAAGTTAGGAGGAGGTGCGGGATTACCAAAACTGTTGTCCAGAGGGCTGAGGAAGGGTTGTTGAGGTGGTTCGGACATGTAGAGAGAATGGAGCGAAACAGAATGACTTCAAGAGTGTATCAGTCTGTAGTGGAAGGAAGCGGGGTAGGGGTCGGCCTAGGAAGGGTTGGAGGGAGGGGGTTAAAGGAGGTTTTGTGTGCGAGGGGCTTGGACTTCCAGCAGGCATGCGTGAGCGTGTTTGATAGGAGTGAATGGAGACAAATGGTTTTTAATACTTGACGTGCTGTTGGAGTGTGAGCAAAGTAACATTTATGAAGGGATTCAGGGAAACCGGCAGGCCGGACTTGAGTCCTGGAGATGGGAAGTACAGTGCCTGCACTCTGAAGGATGGGTGTTAATGTTGCAGTTTAAAAAACTGTAGTGTAAAGCACCCTTCTGGCAAGACAGTGATGGAGTGAATGATGGTGAAAGTTTTTCTTTTTCGGGCCACCCTGCCTTGGTGGGAATCGGCCGGTGTGATAATAAAAAAAAAAATAAAATATATATGAGTATAAAATAGAGAGAGGTTAGTATATCTTAGAAGAGTTACATATGTGGCTGAAATTTGTTAATATATCTTCATTGTATCCTCCGTAAAGGCTGCAAATTTTTTATTAGTATTGTTAGATAAGAATTTTGATTTGATTCCTCAGTTAGGAAAGACAGAGAAAATCCAAGGTACTGGAGCTAAATGGTTCACATACAAGACTGCAATGAAAGCATTTCCCTAGGTGAAATTCCTCTAAATTAAATTAAGGATCCCGCATTCCATTGGAATCGTTATTGTAAAATCCCTGGGAAGGCTAAAGCCCAGGAGCTAGAGCCACTTGAAATAACATGATTTAAAAGTGAATGATATAAAGAAAATTAGCAGAAGGGCCTATAATGTAGAACAGTAATGGGTTTAAAAGTTTTATTCACTAACATTTTCTGCTCACTGAATTAAGTCAATGATTAATCTTAACATATAAAAAGATTTTTTTTTTTTGTATACTGTCGATTAATCCTACTTGAAATGTCATGAAAAATAGACAAAAGAATCATATGGAGATACAAGAAAGAGTTATATACCCGAGTTAAATTAATGAATGTATGTGGAGAAGAAACACACAAAAAAAACAGAGCAAAGATGTG